TTGTGTGATGTCATCATATGCTATCACATTCTGTCTGCCTCCCATCCCATATTTTTTCAACTTGCATGTGTGGTTTGAACGTGTGCAAGAATTTGTGTGTGATGTGTTCTGGAGTTTGGGAATGTGTTTTGTGTTATTTTGTTTGAGCAGGTTTTTTGTGATGATAGATCTTGAGAAGATCTTTCCGACGCAACGAGAATCCCTTCAATCGGAGCAAGAACGCGAAAGCTATGAAGATTCAAAGTTCATGAGCTTGCGTTACAATTGCGGCGGTTACAAAGTGAAGTTGTGGGGTGACTCTATATGGAGTTGGGACCTTTGGGGGTTTGGGAAATTTGTCACTCACTGTAACAGCTGCAAATTGGTTGGGAACAACCAAGCTAGGTTGGCAAGGGTGGCCAACTTGGATGGATTGGTTGGGAAGGGACAAATGTCAAAGTTGGGGTTCCTATAGGGAGGGAATCTTTGTGCTTATGGGGTTTCCTTGGTTGGGGACTCTCTTGGGACCTTCCCTCTCATCCCTCTCTTCCTATCCCAACCTTTCTCTTGCTCCTTCTAATTCCTTGTGAGATTCTTGAACTTTGATTGAACCTTTGAGATTGAGTTAAGTTCTCCTCCTACAGCTTACCCCCTAGTGCGTCGAAAGCCATAGCGTCGCGAATACTTTATCAATCAACATGATTCAAATTGGGAACGGTAGCTGAGATTAAGAGCTACAACATATCCAAGTTTCGCGACATTCCAACGGCTAGTTGTTTGTCGACGTCGTTTCTTGTGAAGACGACTTTTCTGTCCAGAATTTCGGATTTATATTTTGAGTAATTCTAGCTCCTAAGTGCACCTAGACTCCGTCCTTAATCCTAACAAGTGGTATCAGAGCTGTATTAAGGACGTTGAGAGGAGTCTACAGAAGTGTGAAGACCCTTCTAGACCCACCATGGCCTGTGGGTGTGCCTAAGTGGTGTTCTAAAGGTTGGATGTGTCTTCCGCTAAGGGAAACTCTGCCGAAATTTCGTGGACGCCGACACTTGTGAAAATATCGAGGGAGCTGAGTGTGGACAGCAAAGGGGGGCTGAAATTCGTCATTTCTCAAGGAGAAGATGAATGAGAGAGGAGGAGATGCTAATGGAAGAGGAGCTGTAGCTGAGAAGACAAGTGAGCCGCCGCCATCAAAAGTTGAAGCTTTGGATGGCTCCAACTATGAGGAATGGAGCGGACGGATGAGGAGTGCCTTCAAACGCTACAAGCTACTGAAGATTGCTGTTGGGGAAGAGAAGATGCCGGAAGAAGGCGAAGCACGCGAACGGTGGATTGAGAAAAGCGCGGTGCTTTTCGACCTCATCCTTCAATCGGTCAACAAGGAGATGTTCGAGCACATCAAGGATCTTGTGGAAGCGGATGATTCGGGTCCAAGGGCGTGGAAACTACTACGCGATGTGATTCAGCCCAACACTCTCCCGATGGTGATCGTGCTCGAGAAGGAACTTGCTGCCATCTCCATGCGACCAGGGGACGATGTGAAGCCGATCCTTGACAAGATCAAGGACACCTATGCAAGGATGGCAGCAGCGGGCAGCAGTGTATCTCAGCTGCAGCAGTGCACCAAGATCATCTCGGTGTTGGACAACTCGTGGGATAACCTCATCCCCACCCTCAACTCTCAGCAAGATCAATGGACACCTGAGTGGCTAAGGCAGCAGATTCTGCAGGAGGACTTCCGCAGACGCCATGTGGGAGGCGGTGCTGCCACTAAGACTGCTGAGGGGTATGGAGCTGCAGGGCGCGGCAGAGGAAGAGGGGGTTGGAAAGGCCGAGGCCGTGGGAGAAGCTTTGGCAGAGGTAGAGGCCGAGGTGACTATAATGAGGGGCATGGGAGCTCCAGTGGCAGGGGGAGTACCAGAATGGAGGGCACCTGCTGGTACTGCAAGAAGGTCGGGCATCCTTGGTTCAAGTGCTTCAGCAGGCTGGAGGGATGGTCACCTCCAGGCATGAAGCCGCCAAGTGGTGAACGCGCACAAGGTGGCGCTGTGCAAGGCTCAGGTGCACAAGGTGAAGGTGCACAAGGTAACGCCTATCCTGGGATGTATCTCATGGTTGAGGATGTGCATGGGCATGAGGGTGATGTGGGATCTGTGGGAAAGGTTGTGATGCACCCTCTCACGCACTGGGTGATTGATTCAGGTTGCACCAGTCACATGACCCCACGGGCAGATTTGCTTGATGAGGTAAAACCCCCTGGGAAGATCAAGTATGTGGCAGCAGCGTCAGGTGCTTTGCTCCCTGTCATTGGTGTTGGAAATGCCAAGGTTAAGGGAGCTAATGGGGAGCTTGTGGGGCTTGGGAATGTTCTGCTGGTTGAAGGCTTGTCTGCTAACCTTCTCTCTGTGCGACGACTGCAGAAGAGCAAGGCCGAAGTGACCTTTGGACCAACCAGCTGCCGTGCTAAGCTTGGGAAGAAGGTGCTGTGGAGTCTGGAAGAGGAGACCAGCTGCATCAAGGACCTGTGGCAGCTGCCCATCATCCCATGGAATGGGAAGACTCCAACAGCAGCAACGGCAGCAGCGGCAAAGGCAACAGCAGGAGGAGATGCAACTGCACCAACTGATGGGGTCCTGGAAGCAGTCAAGAAAGTGCAGCAGCAGCAGACACATGGTGAGGTGCTTGCTGGTGTGGATGCGAGTGCGGCATGGGCTAAGGCTTCATCAAGGAGTGGAGAGGCCGATTGGGAGACATGGCATGAGAGGCTGTGTCATGTGAACTTCCCTATGCTGCAGAAGTTGGTGAAGGATGGGAGCCTGAAGGGCTTGGAGGTGAAAGGGGGAGTGAAGGAGATTGGGAGCTGCCCTACATGCTTGGAGACCAAGTTCTCCAAGTTCCCCTTCAACAGCACTACAGGACCAGCCAAGACCCCACTTGCACTTGTGCACATGGATGTGGTGGGGCCCACAAGAGCCCCTTCCCTCTCAGGCAGCCGCTATTTCTTGACAATTGTGGATGACCACACTCGGGCAGTGTGGGTTTACCCTTTGAAGAGCAAGGGGGAGGTGGCAGCGGCTGTCCTTAAGGAGTGGATGCCTAGAGCTCAGAGGGAATGCGGATACAAGGTGAAGGTGATCCGCAGTGACAATGGTGGGGAGTTCATTGGAGCTGATTTTGAGGGGGAGTTGAAGAGGAAGGGGATCCAGCATCAACTGACAGTGCCCTACAACCCGCAGCAGAATGGCGTGGCTGAGAGGTTCAACAGGACCCTGCAGGAGGGGGCACGCACTCTCCTTGGGCGTGCAGGGCTGCCTGATCCGTTTTGGGTGTCTGCACTGAGGCAGGTCGCCCTTGTGAAGAACAGGGTGCTGGCTACAGTTGGAGATAAGGAGTGGATCCCATATGTCAAGTGGTATGGGAGTGCTCCAACTGTGAACATGCTGAGGGCATTTGGGTGCATGGTGGTGTTTCATGTGCCTAAGGAGAAAAGGGGGAAGTTGGAGGCTTCTGGAAGATGGGGTGTGCACTTGGGGATTGCAAAGGATCACAAGGGGTGGCTGCTATGGGACTTGACCACCCAGAAGTTGACAGTGTCAAGGGATGTGAAGTTTCTTGAGTCCCTGTACTACAAGGAATGGAAGCAGCAGCAACAGAAGCTTCCATCTACACCGCTCATTGTGGAGGCAGATGAGGTGCAGCACCCTTCAAGACAGGTGGAGGTTGCAGTGTCAGAGGAGGAGATGTCTGGGGTGACTGAGGAAGGGGGAGCAGCTGAAGTAGAGCAGCAGCAGCAGCAGCAGCATGAGTCTCCACCTCGAGTTCCACACCCGCCTGAGCGTCCTAGGAGGGATGTGCGCCCTCCAGTGAGGCTGACCTATGGGGGAAGAGGCAAGCCGAATGTGGTGCAGGCTGGGAGTGTGGTTGAGCAGATTGAGGAAGATGAGATCGCTCACTGCTACTGGGCACCAATCCCTGAGCCCAAGACTCGAGAAGAGGCCTTGAATGGACCAAATGGGGAGAAGTGGAAGGCGAGTGAGGATGAGGAGTTCGGGTCCCTAATTGAGAACGAGACATGGGACCTGTGTGACTTGCCTCCTGGAAAGAAGGCAATCACTTCCAAGATGATCTACAGGCACAAGTATGGACCTGAAGGGGAGCTGACCCGCTACAAGTCTAGGCTTGTGGCACGGGGGTTTCAGCAGACAAAGGGGAAGGACTATGATGAGGTGTTTGCTCCTGTGGGGAAAGGAACAACACTGAGGGTGCTGTTGGCGATAGCTGCACTCCTGGGATGGAAGATTCGGCAGATGGATATTGTGACTGCCTTTCTGAATGGGATCATTATGGAGGAGGTGTACATGAAGCAGCCAGAGGGGCTGGATGACGGGAGCGGCAGGGTCTGCAGGCTGAAGAAGGCCATCTATGGCCTTAAGCAGGCGCCTCGTGCATGGTATCACAAGTTGGAGGAGGCGCTGTTGGCTGGGGGTTTCAAGAAGAGTGAGTGTGACCCCAGCCTGTTCCTGCTGCAGGAGAAGGATGAAATCCTCATGCTCTTGGTGTATGTGGATGATATCCTTCTCTTTTCTGCATCCACTGCTTTGCTGGACAGCGCAGAGCAGATGCTGGAGATGCAGTTCAAGTGCTCCAAGATGGGTGAGGTGAAGTACTACTTGGGGATGCACGTGGAGAGAGATGTGGAAAAGGGTGTGCTGAGGTTGCACCAGAGGAAGTACTGTGAGGGGCTGGCTGAGAAGTATGGGCTGCAAGATGGGGGAAAGCCAGCAACACCACTACCTTCAGGGTTTACTGTGGAGCCATGTGCTGATGAGGAGGTAGTGGGTGATAGTGACAGGAAGCTGTTTCATTCGATGGTTGGGTCGCTGAATTATGCTGCAAATCATACACGGCCTGACATTGCATTTGCTACATCACGATTGGCTAGTGTGGTCTCACGCCCTAGTCATGAGCAGCTGGAAGCGGCCAAGAGGTTGGTCCGCTATGTGAGCGCTACGGCATCAGTGGGATTGGAGTACAGTGGAGTGAGGCAGCGGTTGCAGAGAGGTGCTGCAGATGGGAAGAGTGGAGAGATGCTCTTGAGTTGCTATACTGACGCTAGCTTCAACTCAGTGAAAGCGGATGGCACCAGCATTGGGGGTTATGTGTGCTTGCTAGGAGGTGGTGCTGTGAGCTGGCGCAGCAAGAAGCAGAATGAGGTGGGATTGTCCTCATGTGAGACTGAGTACATGGCCTTACACCATGGGGCCAAGGAAGTAGTGTGGCTAAGGCGTTTGTTGGAGGAGTTGGGAGTTGGTCAGGAGAAGCCGACAGTTGTGTTTTGTGACAATGAGTCCGCTGTGAAGCTCGCCAAGAATGCTTGTCTGCATGGGCTGACAAAACACATAAGGCCTAAGTGGCATTGGGTGAGGAGACTCCTTGATAAGGAGGTGCGGCTGGAGATAGTGAAGACCCATCAGCAGGCAGCAGATATTTTCACCAAGCGTCTGGCGGAGGCGGATCATTGGAAGGGCATGAAGCTTGCTGGGATGAGTGTGCATTGAGTATGCATGCTTGAGATGTTGGTATGGTGGATGATGGTTGGCAGCCAGAGGGGGAGATTGTTGTGTGATGTCATCATATGCTATCACATTCTGTCTGCCTCCCATCCCATATTTTTTCAACTTGCATGTGTGGTTTGAACGTGTGCAAGAATTTGTGTGTGATGTGTTCTGGAGTTTGGGAATGTGTTTTGTGTTATTTTGTTTGAGCAGGTTTTTTGTGATGATAGATCTTGAGAAGATCTTTCCGACGCAACGAGAATCCCTTCAATCGGAGCAAGAACGCGAAAGCTATGAAGATTCAAAGTTCATGAGCTTGCGTTACAATTGCGGCGGTTACAAAGTGAAGTTGTGGGGTGACTCTATATGGAGTTGGGACCTTTGGGGGTTTGGGAAATTTGTCACTCACTGTAACAGCTGCAAATTGGTTGGGAACAACCAAGCTAGGTTGGCAAGGGTGGCCAACTTGGATGGATTGGTTGGGAAGGGACAAATGTCAAAGTTGGGGTTCCTATAGGGAGGGAATCTTTGTGCTTATGGGGTTTCCTTGGTTGGGGACTCTCTTGGGACCTTCCCTCTCATCCCTCTCTTCCTATCCCAACCTTTCTCTTGCTCCTTCTAATTCCTTGTGAGATTCTTGAACTTTGATTGAACCTTTGAGATTGAGTTAAGTTCTCCTCCTACAGCTTACCCCCTAGTGCGTCGAAAGCCATAGCGTCGCGAATACTTTATCAATCAACATGATTCAAATTGGGAACGGTAGCTGAGATTAAGAGCTACAACATATCCAAGTTTCGCGACATTCCAACGGCTAGTTGTTTGTCGACGTCGTTTCTTGTGAAGACGACTTTTCTGTCCAGAATTTCGGATTTATATTTTGAGTAATTCTAGCTCCTAAGTGCACCTAGACTCCGTCCTTAATCCTAACAATGTCGTCGGTCGAACCTCCGCAGAGTTCCGCGCAACTCCAAGTGTTGTGGCGAACTGCGACCTTCTCCGAATGTCGCAAGGGGAGTTCCGCCGGAACTGACGCGCTCGCCAGGTCGAGGCCGTTTGCCCCCGCGAAAAATCGGCACCGTCGATGCAGTCCATCGAACGGTTGGTGAGGCATCTCGCCTTCGAAGGGGACCCCAGGTGCAACAGCGAGAGGTGAGACGAAACTTAAATGAAAGTGCATTGTACTTACAGGAATTGAAGTTTCGACTCCATCCTCCGCGTGCTCCTGGGGGCCCAGCGGTTAAGCGTTGAGCTGAAACCTTGGCTCTGATTACCAAGTGTCACAGGATCGAATGTCCCGAGGAAAGGTTTGCTCAATGTTGCCCTATCAATCAGTACAAGGTGCTTTTATACTTCCAGAGTACATCAAGTAACTAGGTTTATCCTATCCAAAGGGAATAGACCCTTCTAGAAATAGAATCACCCTGCGTATAGCCACGCGAAGCTATTGGCTTTAAGGGATTACGGCAGGATTACGCTAGATATAGCGCGCCAGTACATCCCGAGCCTGGTCGGTGGTATAATTATAATAACAGGATAAACCAAAGGATAATGGAAAATGAGGAATAGGAAACCAAATGAGATGAGATAAAGACCAAATGAATCAGGATAAAAAGAGGAATGAAAGAGAAAGGAAATATGGAAAGGGGAAATTAGTGTAACGGGGTCGTACTCTCACAATCATGGCCCTGTTGCCAGCGTACACGACCGGGGCAGAGCTAGGCCGCTCACCTAAGTCTGTGAGCAAGAAATTCAGCCAACGGAGCTCGTGTGCCGCCATGGCACCGGCGTAGATCTCAGCCTCATAGCTAGATTGGGCAGCAGAGGACGAGCGGGTGGACCTCCACGAGACAGCACCTGCACCAAGGCTTAAGCAGTAGCCCTGGGAGGACCTGAGAGTCTCGGCGTCGTGTGCCCAAGAAGCGTTTGTGTGCTCGGGTAAGGACCACTGGTCTGCGTTCTCCTAGCACTAGCCCCATGCCCGATGTACTTGCTAGATAACGCAAAACTCTCTTAGCTGCAGACCAGTGCTGTGGTCGGTGTGTGTCGGAAGCCACAAAGCAGGCCAGGATGCTGAGAGGGTATGCGAGATCTGGACGAGTGCAAGTCATTAGGTACATGAGGCAACCCACCAGCTCTGCGTAAGGACCACTGGGCTCTATTGACTCCTCAGGAACTAGCGCAGAGAGCCTGTGGTCTACTGACAGAGGTGTGGGCTGTGCGGAAGAGAACTGAAGGCCGAACATCTGAAGGACCTGGCGCACCAAGTGTGACTGTGTGAGAGTGATGGTGCACGCTGCTCTGTCCCTGCAGATCTGCAAGCCAAGGTAGTGGCGCAGCTCTCCTAGGTAAGTGCAGATGTGTCTCCTCAGCAGCTCGGCCGTTACGGAGGCCAGCGCGTCTCTGTCTGCAGTAGCAAAGATCAGATCGTCAACGTAAACAAGGATGTATGACGGAGTCTGGCCGGAACAGACGAAGAACGAGGGGTTTGCAGACGACGGGAAGAACTGTCAGAGTGGCATCTGACAGGAAAGCAAGCTCGTACTGTCTATCCTCTAGGACGTCACTGCCAAGGGCAGCCACACTCCTGACGGACGGAGGGCAGGCAGGGTCAGAGACTAGAGCGGTGGCGTAGTCAAGGCGGCGGGTAGCGGTGAAGTCAGTGACAGCAACAACAAGAGCCGACAGACTCGAGACAGGAACGGACGGGTCGGTAACAAGAGAGGCAAGGATACGGGGAACAAGTGGACGTGCTGCAAGGAGGAAGTCAGAAAACGGAGGCAGGGCCGCAGCGAGCGACGACGGAGGAGGAGACGGGAGGAGCGGAGGAGCACGAGAAGCGTGTGAGCGAAGCAACAGAGGGTGAGAATGCAGAACAGGGGAGGTAGGACGAGCACGAGATGGACAACGGGCCCAGACGTGAGACGGAGGAGTCGGGTCACGAGAGAGGGGAGGAGACACATGAAGAGAACGAGGAGGGAAACGAGCCGGAGAAGTGTCCGCTGGAGGAAACACAGGATCGTAGACCGGCAGAGGAGGAGGTGGTGGCGGCTGAGAAGGCACTGGCAGGCGGTCAGAGGAAGGGAGGCTGAGGAGGCTGCTGCCCGACGCCAATACCAGAACCTCCAGCAGCACCATGGCTCCCTCCGAGAAGCCCCACGCCAGCACCCCCAGAACGGGAACCCGCTCCAGTACCTGCTCCCGCACGCTCCCCAGCACCCTCGGAACGCACAAACCCTAGCGGCGGTGACGACGGCGGCTGCGGCTGCGGCGGCGACGGCAGCTGCGGAGGCGGTTGTGGCTGTGACAGCAACGTCGGCGACAGGGGAGGAGAGACCAGGGTAGGGACAGGTGGTGGAAGGGACTCTGCCGAGCTGCGAGAGTCAACAGACTCCACGGCAGGGACAGGGCAGGGAGGGGGAGGAGCAGGGGCGTCCGGGGGAGGGGGGGAACTAGGAACTGGGGGGGAGTGACCGGGTGACCACGGAGGGGAAAGCGGTGCTAGAAAGAGACGGACTTGTCAAAGGTGACATCCCGAGAGTGAAAGAAACGCTGAGATGGCGGGTGGTAGAAGTGCCAGTCAGACGAGTCGAGGGGGAAACCTAGGAAGACACAGGGGACGTTGTGGGCAGTGAGCTTGTCCGTGCCAAAGGCACGAACGTGAGCAAGGCAGCCCCAGACGTAGAACGCAGACGCGTCACCAGGAGACCCGGTCTAGAGGAGGGTCGGCAAAACCTCCGGCCGCAGAGGGTGCGGCCACAGGTTAAGCTGGTGGGTGGCGTAGCGAATGGCGAACGGCCACACAAAATGGGGAGCACCGACATGGATCATGGAGGTATGAGCCACCTCCATGTCCAAACCGATGCGTCGCTCAGCGACCCCATTCTGTTGCGAGGAGTCCGGCAGGGTGTACGTCTTGGTGATGCCCTCCGCACGACAAAAGCGACCAAGGCAGCTAGAGGCGAACTCGCCACCATGGTTGGAGTAAAGACGCAACCCAGGGAGACCTCGGTGCACACGCCAGAGACAAGCCACGGGATAAGAACGTCGGCCTTCCGCTCCAGGGGAAACACAGTTGTGTAGCGAGTGCAGTCGTCGACAAGCACTAAGAAGTAACGCTCACGACGCGGCCCATGGACGGGGGCGCGGCCCCAGACGTCCATCTGCAGGGTCTGTAATGGTGCGGCGCTGGGGGGGAACGAGGAGGAGTGAGGGGCACGGCGGAACTGGCCCTCGGCGCAGGGGGTATATGGAGGCGCTGCCGAGGAGCGGAGCGCAAGGAATGACGCAGGGATACCTAAGACAAGACCGTGCTAAGACATGTGACGGAGACGTATGAGGGGGGGGTGACCTAGGCGGTGGTGCCACAGAAGCGACGGGTGAATAAGCGACCGACACGAGCAAGCTGCAGCAACCTGGGTAGACGCTGCCATCTGGGGGGCCGTCCCAACGGGAGGGGACGCGGTGTCCAGCGTGAACAGGCCAGACACCGGGTCCCGGGGGAATGTGGTGAGGGGGGCACCAGTGGCGGCCTCGGTACAGACAGCGTACCTCTCATGACCAGGGAACGTAGTGGTGACGCCGAGGTTCTGAAGACAGCCGACACCAACCAGATTCCAAGAGAACGAGAGGATGTGCAGGCCTAGAAGAGAGCTCGAAGGAACTGCCGGACAGGGGAGAGTGGTGGAACTACGAGTGACTACCGGACCTGAGGAAGGGTTTGCAAGGGCAACTGTGCCAGGGAGGGCAAGCGCCGTAAGCGTAGTGTGGTCCCGAAAGAAACACTGAGATGCGCCTGAGTCGAGAGTGAAGGAGAGCTCGGCAATGGCGACTGGGGGCAAAGGAGCTAGGGAGGAGCCAAGGCTAAACCAAGCAAAGGGTCTTATGCATGACGCAGCAGGGGAGCATAAACTAGGCACACTGGGCACACCTACACTAGGCAACACGGGGTAATAGGAACCAGTCACATTACAGTCATCGACATACAACACACACGATGCAGAGCTAATCTCATCCATGTCCATATCCTAACATCACGGCGAAGCAGACTGTGCCAGTCGGGGAGGTCAGGCGCGAGGCCAAAGCGGAGACGAAACAAGTCTTCCAGGCGATTGAAACATCGAGCTGAGGTATGACCAGTCTTACCGCACACGAGGCCGTGGCGAGGACCGGTCTAGAGCTGGTACTGGCAGCGCCCGTCACTCGCACCACCACCCAACGACAAGCTACGCGCACGACCACTGCGACCACCACCACCACCAGCGCCAGGCCACCCAGAGGGGAGGTGGTCGACCCTCCGCTGCGACTGCTGCTGCTGTTACAGCTGCTGCTGCTGCTTCTGGTCAAGCTGTGGCGCCTGCTGTTGCTCCCGTTGGGGCTGCTGCTCCGAGGCACCAGCTCTAGCCCCCTCGCCGGTACTACCGCCAACGGATGAACCACCTCTACCACCACCTCCACCCCCTCCTCCACTACCACCGCCATACCCAGCCTTTGGGCGGCGGGCCTTACCATAACGAGACTGCGCTGCGGCCACCGCGGCAGCGGTCTCAGCAGCAGGGGCTGTCTCAGCTACAGCCGCAGAACCGTCAAAGTAAGTGCACTGGGCGGGAGCACAACCCTTAAAGATAGGGACCGACGCACTACCACTAGACTGGAAGATAGAGCGATGACGGGTCTCTATGGCAGACAAGGTGTCGACAAAGTCAGGGAGGGTGAGGTTTGCGGGGTGCAGACTCAGAAAGTGGTCGCGGGCAGTGGCAAGGTGGTTAGGGAGGCAGGTGGCAAGCAGGTAAAGGGTAGAGCAGATAGGGGGCTGGAGCACACGGAGCTGGGCCTCAGTGCACGCAGCGCGCCAGCTCGCGTCGAGCATGCACAGGTGCGTGGCAATGTCAACAACAGTGGGGAAAGACACAAAATTTGGGAAGAGAATGGGAAGGATCAGGCAGCCGGCAGAGGCAGAGGACGGGGTGGAATAATGCTCGACAATAGCCTCTAGGAACTCCTGCGCAGTCCTGACCGACTTAAAGCGGGGACACTCAGACAGGGAGAGGGCATGGCTAATTGCGAGCTGAGCGACAGCGTCACGCGACAGCCAGACAGCAAGGGCAAGGGCAGCAGCGGCGGCGGACTCACGGTCAGCAGACGTGGGGTCAGCGGGGAGAGCAGCAGGTGGGTCAGGGCAGGGGAGCGTACCGTCAATGTGGACGGCCAGGGAGTGGCCGTCCTGCCGCTGACCAGTGAGGTAACGGCGGAATTCGACGAGCCATGCGTTGAACTCAACCGGCTGACCCTCTACGTCAAAGCGCAGCACCGAGTCTGTCATTAAGGCCGCTCGTAGTAGTTTGCACCCAAGGCTGCATAGCTTTCACCCATAGGTCCGAGTCACACTGCTTGCTCCCGCCCCTGGCCAGCCAAGCAAGCATCACGAGATGCAAGGCGAAAGGAGCCCCAATCCATGCTGCGACCAGTAGCGAGGATTGTCGAAACCATTCCTCACCACAGAATTGTCTCCCTCCTCTCTCCCCCACCCCCTAGGAGGAGGAGGAGGAGGAGGAGGAGGAGGAGGAGGAGGAGGAGGAGGAGGAGGAGGAGGAGGAGGAGGAGGAGGAGGAGGAGGAGGAGGAGGAGGAGGAGGAGGAGGAGGAGGAGGAGGAGGGGGAGAGGAGCTCCTATCCCCCCTAGAATTTGGGATAAGAGGAGCTTGAGCCTCTTTGCTTTTTCCATTGCACTACTTCTACAAGAATTCTTCAGCTCCGACTGATCAGAGCGACGAGGAGCAGTGCTGTACGGTGCAGTGCGGTGGAGTGCGGTGTAGTGCAGCGCCATGCGGTACAGTGCAGTGGGGCGCGGTGCAGTGCGGTGCAGTGAGGTGGGGCGCGGTGCAGTGTGGTGGGGCACAGTGCAGTGCGGTGCTGAGCAGTGCAGCACGGTGGGGCGCGGTGCAGGACGATGGAGAGGGCCGCTTTAGCAACCGGGGACCGGGAAACATGGCGGCTGAGCAGCTGGGAGTCGGGGCCGCAGGGCGGCTGGGTGACGGGGCCGCGAAGCAGCGGGGCGACGAGGCCGCGGGGCGGCTGGGCGGCTAGGCGACGGGGCGGATAAGGCGACGGGGCGGCTAGGCGACGAGGCGGCTAGGCAACGGGGGGCTAGGTGACAGGGCGGCTAGGCGACGAGGCGGCTAGGCAGCGGGGCAACGAGGTCGCGGGGCGGCTGGGCGACGGGGCCGCGAACCGGCTGGGCGACGAGGCCGCAGGGCGGCTGGGCGACGAGGCCATGGGGCGGCTAGGCAACGGGGCCGTTAGGCGCCAGGTGACGAGACGACGGGGGACAGGGGCGGCTAGTCGCTGGGTGATGGGGCGGCGGGGCAACGGGCGGCTAGGCGCTAGGTGACGGGGCTGCGGGGCCAGCGGGGCGGCTAGGCGCTAGGTGGCGGGACAACGAGGCCACGGGCGGCAAGGCACTAGGTGACGGGGCCGCGGGGCCAGTGGGGCGGCTAGGCGCTAGGTGACGGGGCAACGGGGCCACGGGCGGCTAGGCGCTAGGGAATGGGGCCGAGGGGCCAACAGGGGCTAGGAGATGGGGCCGACGGGCCAGCTAGGCAACGGGGCAGCGGGGCCAGTGGGGCGGCTAGGCGCTAGTAGACGGGGCAGGCTAGGACCTAAGGCGGAAGCGCGGGTGGGCGGGGGGGACCTAACCTACTCATGTTACCATCTCAAAGTTCGAATTTGTTGAGTAGAATGAGAGTATACAGGGGTATATAGCTAGTGGGTTGTACTCTCTATGGCATGACCCTATGTAGTCTACTAAACATACACACATATGTTTGACATTGAGGACCTTGATTTTGAGAGCCAAGGCACGCATTTCCCCCTCAAATGTCACTTCAGAGTACCTGCAAAATAAAACGTGCAAGAGAAATACTGAGTGCAAAATACCAAAAACCACGACACAGTGAGACACGCGCGGCGACAAGTGCGGAGAGCGGGAGAGATACGCTAAGCGGGAGAGGTGTTCAAAGCGGGAGCGCAAGAAGGAAAGCCCTTGCGAAATCGAAGGAGAGGGGCAGAAAGAGAGGGAGGTGGGCGGAAAAAGTGGGAGAGGCGCAGGAATAGAGTTTGAGGCGCGGAGAGAGAGCAGAGGTGCGGAAATAGAAGGAGAGGTGCGGAAAAAGGAGAGGTGTGGAAATAGGAGAGGTGCGGAAATAGGAGAGGCATGGAAATTGAAGAAGTGATGTGGAAATAGGAGAGGTGCGGAAATAGGAGAGGCGCGGAAATAGAAGGAGAGGTGATGAAAGGGAGGGAGAGGCAGGGAGAGAGAGGGAGAGGCGTGGAGAGATTGGAAGAGGCGCGTAAACGGAGGGATAGGTGAGGAGAGAGAGAGGGAGAGGGTGAGTGCTCATTAAAAGGAGCGGGACTATCGCCATCTCCCTGCGCCACATCCTCTTTCGCTGCGAAACTCTCATCCGCTCTCTCTCTCTCTCTCTCTCTCTCTCTCTCTCTCTCTCTCTCTCTCTCTCTCTCTCTCTCTCTCTCTCTCTCTCTCTCTCTCTCTCTCTCTCTCTCTCTCTCCCTCTCTCTCTCTCTCCTCTCTCTCTCTCTCTCTCTCTCTCTCTCTCTCTCTCTCTCTCTCCTGCACTACACTCTCTCCCCCGCCGCGCTACACTCTCCCTGACTCACTCCCGCGCTACACTCTCTCTGCAGCCGCGCTGCTCTCTCTCTCTCCCACCACGCTACTCTCTCTCTCTCTCTCTCCCGCGCTACTCTCTCTCTCTCTCTCTCTCTCTCTCTCTCTCTCTCTCTCTCTCTCTCTCTCTCTCTCTCTCTCTCTCTCTCTCTCTCTCTCTCTCTCTCTCTCTCTCTTCCACTGCGCTACTCTCACTCTCCCGCCGTGCTACTCTTTGTCTCCCGCCACCCAACTATCTCTCTTTCCCTCTCGCCGTGCCAATCTCTCCCTATCTCGCCGCGCCACATTTTCCTAAGCTGGAAAACACAGGGGGTCAATGCGCGGAACTAGGTAACCAGGCGCCTGTTACTAGCTTGCAACTAGCTGGAAAATGAGCTTCACATAGGAAAAGGAGAAGTGCTCCTTGCGGCAATTATGTCTCAGAGTTAGAACAAATGACCACAATGAGAGAATACAGGAGTATATAGCTAGGGGGTTGTGCTCTCTATGTTAAGACCCCATATAGTCTGCTAAACATACACAAATATGTTTGACACACCCTCTAGGAGAGACAAACAGCTCAGGGTGGCACTACTAGTCCAACCTCTGAGGCAAGGGTCTAAAGACCAGTCAAAAGAGTACAAACAAGGCAAGAACAATACCAGGGCCACACTACTAGTCCAGCCACAAGGCCAGTCAGGACAATATATAAAGAGTTATACATCATCAAGGTCCTAGCGAATGAGGTGCTACAAGAACGAGTCCAAGCTGTACACAATGCCGCTGATGATCTTTAGGCGCAAGCGCCTTCGTAAAGATATCAGCTATGTTGGCACCGGAGGCCAAATGTACTGCGCGGGCCTGGCGATGCGGGTGTAGCTCGCGAAGGAGGAAGTACCGCAGCTGGATGTGCTTTGCTCTGCCCTCGAGTCTAGGCTCCTGACACAAGAGGATCATGGCCCTGTTGTCAGCGTACACGACCGAGGCAGAGCTAGGCCGCTCACCTAAGTCGGTGAGCAAGAAAGTCAGCCAATGGAGTTCCTGTGCCGCCATGGCACCGGCGTAGATCTCAGCCTCACAGCTAGACTGGGCAACAGATGACGAGCAGGTGGACCTCCACAAGATGGCACCTGCAACAAGGCTAAAGCAGTAGCCCTGGGAGGACCTGAGAGTCTCGGCGTCGTGTGCCCAAGAAGCGTCTGTGTGCCCGGTAAGGAGCACTGGCCAGCGTCCTCCTAGCACTAGCCCCATACCCGATATACTTAATAGATAACGCAGAACCCTCTTAGCCGCAGACCAGTGCTGTGGTTGGTGTCTGCCGGAGGCCACAAAGCGGGCCAAGATGCTGAGAGGGTATGCGAGATTTGGACGAGTGCAAGTCATCAGGTACATGAGGTAACCCACCAGCTCTGCATAAGGGCCACTAGGCTCTACAGCCTCCTCCGAAACATGAGTAGAGAGTCTCTGGTCTACTGGCAGAGGGGTGGGCTTTGCGGAAGAGAACTAAAGGCTGAACCTCTAAAGGACCAGGTGCACCAAGTGGGACTGTGTGAGAGTGATGGCGCGCGCTACTCTATCCCTGGAGATCTGCAAGCCAAGGTAGCGGCGCAGCTCTCCTAGGTCAGTGCAGATGTGTCTTCTCAGCGGCTCGGCCTTCACAGAGGCCAGCACGTCTCTGTCTGCAGTAGCAAAGACCAGATCGACTTCGTAAACAAGGATGTAGAACGGAGTCTGGCCGGAACGAATGAAGAGCGAGGGGTCTGCAGACGACGAGATGAACTGCAGGTCCGCAAGTGTAGCATGCAGCGTGTCGTGCCACTCACGGGGCGCCTGGCGCAGGTCGTAGACGAGGCGACGGAGGAGCCACTTGGTACCAGGAGGAAAGGTACCAGAGAAGCCCTAGGGGCAGCGCAGGTAGACCTGCTCGTGTAGACTGCCCTCGAGGAAAGCTGTGGGGAAGTCGAGTGAGTGCCGCTCCTAGTCACGCTGTGCTGCTACGTGTAGCAGTGCCTGAAGAGTAGTCATCTTCGGGGTCGGGGCGAAGGTCTGAAAGACGTCAACCCCCTCACGCTGACTGAAGCCACGAGCAACCTAACGCGCCTTGAAGACAGGCAGCTCTCCAGGAGGGTGCTTCACTTTGAAGAGCCATCGGCCATCGACTACGTTCACACCAGGTGGGGGAACTGCGTCGACGAAGGTACCGGTGGATCTCCAAGATGCCATCTCTTGCTCCATGGCAGCTATCCACCAAGAGGCCTAGGGTCATGAGGTGGCCTCCGCGTAGGTGCGAGGTGTCACAAGATTGAATGTGTCGAGGAAAAGTTGCACTATCGATTGATACAAGGCGTTTTTATGCTTCCATAATACATCAGGTAACCAGGTTTATCCTATCCAAAGGGAATAGACCCTTCTAGAAATAGAATCACCTTGCGTATAGCCACGCGAGGCTATTGGCTTTAAGGGATTACGGCAGGATTACGCTAGATATAGCGCGCTAGTACATCCCGAGCCTTGTCGGTGATATAATCATAATAATAGGATAAACCAAAGGATAATGAAATTGGAAACCAAATGAGATGAGATAAAGACCAAATGAATCAGAAGTGAGAGGGGAATGAAATAGAAAGGAAATATGGAAAGAGAAGAAGTGTAACGGGGTCGTAATCTCACACTTCCCCCCCTAAAAGCTGGGTGGTAAAAGTAACACCCTGCTTGACAAGGTAGTCGCGAAGAGGACGACGAGCGTTACTCATCGCAAATTCAGGACCCCAACTATCCTCAGAAGGATCATAACCCTTCCAACGAATGAGAAGCTCAACGTCGCCATTCCGATGACGACGGTGTGCGAGCACGGACTCGACCTCGTACTCAGGTTCATCGTGGACGAGGATGGGTGGCAGCAGCGGGGGTTGGCGTCCGGTAAAGACCGTGTTAGGATCTCGATAGGGCTTCAGAAGTTGGACATGGAAGGCGTTGTGAATCTTCCAGGTAGCGGGTAGGCTCAAGCGGAAGGTAACAGGAGTGACTTGTGCTTCGACGAGAAAGGG